TTAACTTCAGTCTTGGGTAGATGACCAAGACAATGCTACTACTCAGACATTCATGGTTAAAATGCGCGCATTGAAAACTTATGTAGCGACAAAACGACTGCGGAACTTAATCAAATCTGTCGCGAAAAATTCCGGAACCGGCATTCTGATAGGGAATTTACTACCAGAGACAACTTATTCTCCCGCAGTCATGCATACCGGCAGAGAATCTGAGCTTTAGCGCGAGACTCGACGTTGTGGTATTTGATTAAGGCGCAACTTGCGCTCATTGCTGTTCTCTCGAGAATTTTTATAATGCATTTCATGCCCATGCTTTGGGTATATATGCACTTGTCAGTATTAATGGGATATTTATTGAAAACATTTATAACATTTGTATTGAAAACTTTTTACAACATTTGTGCACACAATATAAATCAAGTAACTGCATTCTTCAAGTAATAGGAGTGTAAACAAAATCAAGCGCCTGAGCATAAAAGTAGCTATGGAACTAATGCATTTCTTCTAGTCAGAGGTGGTGAAAAATGTTCAATCATAAGACATCAAGAAGTGAAGCAGATGTGCGATGAAATCTTGAACTTCAATATTCTTCTTTATCTTCGTCGTCTTCTTTTTGATGATGCATACCGGATTGGGGTCGGGTCGACTGTGATGTGCCACAACAACTCTCACTTCTCTTTAGTCTAAAAAAAAGCTTTGGGATACCGTTGAATAGAGCAAAGCAAGTCCTACAAAGCGGCTTCCGAATTTTGCACAGAGTGCGGTTCCACGTTGAGTTAAAAATCAAAGTCTGAGTTTTTTAGATTCCGGAAAATTAGAGAAGAAATTAAAACTCTGCCTAAAACATTTCTAGGAAGCCCAGACTTATTCACGCCTATGCCTTCATCTAATATCCTCTGCACATTGCTGTAATTTCCCAACGCTAGAAATTGAAAAACATAAATGGGATAAAAGTACGAAGACGTCGTTCTTTCGCAATTTTTACGCTAAATTTGAGATTTTTCAAAATCACTGCTCCTAAAAGGCTGTAATTCTGTGGTTCTACTTCCAAATGTGTGGTGGCAGCTCAGCATGCTTTGCAAAAAAGGCACGCCAAATTTTGGGGTGTATGACTTTATGAACGATAGCATGTGCCAGCCGCCTGCTGGGTACCGTACGCGATGCGCTGAACGCTCCGCCTGCTTGTCAATTAGTTAGAAATGCGTTGCAACTACCAGAAAACTCTAATATTTCGTTCATGCTCCTTCAGTTAGTTGCAATTTGGATATAGAATAGAATTCAAAATTTCAATTGAATTGAAAACCAGCTTTCAGAATCATTTTTCATTATAAGTTAGTTCGCAAGCTCTTTTTTGATGTGTTTCAGTCTTTTGTTCCTAGGTTTGTCCAAATTGATTTTTCATAGCAACTGTGAGGAATTTGTTCCGCAAATGCTCGGAAAAGTGTTTCAATTCTCTTTATTCACATCGATGAAATGACTAACACGATTATCTCTTTTATCAGAAAACTAAGTTTTAAAACTTTACTCATAGCTAAATACAGATTCCATTACGGCGAGAATTCAAAACAAGCATTTTAGGCAAATTTTGTTTCAAGCAAACTAATTTCAATATCTGGTATACATCATTACCTTTGATAATCTGCTTCAATTAACAAAATTCTTTCATTTTGCTCCCATCAGTTTGAATGACCGAAAACCAATTTCAACAAATATTCACTTATAAAATAACTCGAAATTCATCAGAATTTAGAAAAGCGAAATTCGTAAGAATTTAGAAAAACCGTAGTCACTTATAATTTCTCCACGAAATCTGCTTTGACATAAAATAATTGTGCATTACTTCCAGAAACTGCGCTTTCGAATCAAATCGATTGCTGATTTGCTCGAAGTTGCGTGTGAACAGTTAAAGATATGAGGTCACCCAGACAATCATGCCTGAGGTGTTCTAGATTGATTTCACACTTCAAATTTGCTACGAAGACACTAGGTCATTCGGAGGTGAATCAGCAAAACATTCGAGAGATCAGTACCTCACTGGGCAAAAAATCAACAAGAAAACAAACGATTCTTATAATAAGCTTCTCCCCGGTTTGAAGCAAGCTTATGGCTTGATATCAAGGACTGACTTTAGTGGACTAGTGAACATGGCTATGAACCAGTGCCTAAGCTGTAGTGCAGGAAACTCGTCCATCTAGCGATAGGCGGGGCTAACGGTGCGCACCTTATTGACACATGCCTGCCTAAGCGCGCTCTATCGTTCATAAAGTCCGCCACCCCAAATTTTGTTCTCTCAATATCCAGTAATAAGTACAGCATGCCTATGATTTCTAGATGAGGGGTATATAGCGTGAAGTTGGAGCTTCTTAGAATTATTTCAGGCAAAGTTCTAATATATTTTCGAGTTTTCGGTTTTCAGAAAATTTTGTGATTTTAATTTTCAACTTAATGTGGAGCGGACTCTGTGCAAAAGTTTGGACGTCACTTTCTGAAGCTTGCTTTGCTCCATCAAAAGGTATCCGCGGGTTTTGATGGTTGATAAATATGGGAATTATTCAAAAAAAAGTATGCTTTGCTTTATCAGAAGGTACCTCAGGGTTTTGATGATTAATAAATATGGGAGATATTGGAAGAAAAGTGAACGAACGGAACTTATGGGGCAACCTAATTTATATTAGGTTGACGCAGAAGTTCTTGCGTAATTCAGAACAAAATTCAATGACTTTTCAAAAACTAAACCTAAATTACAGTTCGGTATTCAAAAAAATATGAAGGGGTTTTCTCTTTATAACAATAGTTTAAGTTTTCTTACATTGCAAAAGTCCATATGTCACTTTGTCATGCTTCAATCTCGTGGGAAATAAAAACAAAAAATTGAAAATTATTATTTTACCGGGTAATCTCCTTATCGCTTCAGTTTATTCATAGAAACAGGAATTGGACGTAGTGCCTGTTTAAAACGCTGCGATGTTTTTTGAAGCGCCAGAAGGTGTTTCGCTAAAAATTGCAGTAATGAAGGATTTTTTTCTGTAAAATGACATTAATCACAAAATTTTTATTTTTGTGTCATTGAAAAATATAGAAGCCTACCACAGTAACGTAAAAACTTTTGCTGTGTAAGTGATTTTGCATATCTTTTTGGCTCAGCTACAGCCCTCTACGATTTTAGCCCCAAACGTAAAACCGCAGATGTGACGCCATTTTTGGAAGCTTCATTCTGGGGGCTAAGTCATGGAATGTTATGCTCAAACATCTGTTACAGAGCGCAAGCCTTCTACTACTTTTGAATTGCCAAATTATGAATTTAGGTTTGTATTTGAAAACTTATTAAATTTCGTTTGAATCGCAAGGACTTTCGCGCAAATCTAATATCACCGCCAGTAAAATAAGTTCGATCGTTTCGGACTTAAACTTTTAAATGAGCAATTTTCCCCCAAATTGAATATGTATTGCACATGTATGTAGTGGCAGAGTACAACACCCAAACCCTATAGATAAGCCTACTTTTGAAAGAGTCGCCTCCGATGTAAAGAACAAAAGAACGAAAATTACACTCTTCGCGAGTTAACAATAGCATCCCGATAGCCATAGCTACCGAAAGTCTTTCGGATCAGCAAAAGCAAACTCAGTGTCTAATGCTTGCTTCAAGAAACTGTGAGTATGCTTACCCAGGGCACCCTTTTTGTGGCACTTTCTCGGCAAAAGTATGCATACCGAAGTTGCAGCTCACTCAGTTGCCTTGAGCGGAACTGCTGTGGATCCCTTCGATGCAATGACTCAAAAGAACAAAAATCACACTTTTTTTCTGAAAGTTTACAAATCAAAAAGAAAGCTTCCTTGGACTTTCTTGCTACATAAACACAAATATCACCTTATTGCAGCCAGAATGATTGCGTTTGGATTATTGCAAATAAAACTCGATTCTTCAGCCAAAAATGATAAATTCTCAAGACAAAGAAGAAGCGAGCAGCGAAGAGTGCTTGTTGCATTACTTGCCATCCAGAGTGTGGAAACATTATTCAAAATTTACGAGGACTGGATGTTTGGAGAAGAAGATACATATTAAAGGATGAGAAAGATGTTGTAACAGTGTTAAGGAAGGTGTCAAAAAGTTACTAAGCACATTCTAATTCAGAATGGATTGTCGATAGGTTGTAATCAAACCGCTACTCGCTTTGTGTGGAAACAAAAAAATGATGCGTAAGAAGTATAAACTCACGCGACCGCAACGAGCTTGCCTGTTGTTTGAAGGTGCGGTGGAATTTCTTTTCGCGCAGTTATCCCTCCCTCTCTAAATCCGGCGAAATGATTGCCTGGCTCGGTCCTTGTGCGTCATGCTAAAAGCTGCTCATTTCACAAACACCGCAGTAAGTTCAAAAGCTTGTAGAGAAGCTTGAAGAACAAGATACGATTTGAAAAAATCTATACAATAGGAACTTAATAAGAAGAAAATGCAAAGACAGCAATCAAATGCAGCCTGAAAGCGGAAGCGACGCCAAAAAAATGAGCGCAGTTCAAGTCGCGCGGTTTGCCGCGCTTGATTTGGTTGCGTACATATGAAAGCGCGAGTTAAGAGGAAGTCGCGACGGGAATCAACGGGATTTCTCCCGCTTTGTTTTTAGTATCGCAAATACCCAGAAAATCGCGACATAAGCGGGTGTGCCGCAGCACTACCCATTTTTTCGCAATTTCCCATTTTGTAGGCGGATCTACTGCGCGAGTTAACCACGAATGTTTGAGTAATCTGAAGCCAACAAATGTGCAAAATAGCTCCGGAGGAACCCATGTCCTTGTGACAAGCGATGCGAACTTCGATAGCTTTTTAACACAAGAGATGCCCAAACACCTCTGCACATTCGCAAATTAGAACATCCGCTCTTGCCAGCAGCTCGTTTCATCGTTCAATTATGGCATGATTAAAGCAGAAGAAAATAAAGGGTCAGTAGTTTCAAAGTTTTGAAATCATGAACTGTGTTGAAGCGAGCATGTAATGTAGAACTTACGGGACAAGCTGCAACGAGCTCAAACGTTTTACTTTGATTGTGCTCTCGAAGTAGTCGCGAGCTGTTTTGATTAATCCTCCGAGTGTTTTCTGCTGCTCCTGATTAAGCCTATAAAGAGAAACATACAGCTAAAGGCACTGTCCACCCAAGTTGGAGCCTTGAGCTTTTTGGCAGCATGTACAATAGAAGCGCCTACTACCAAGCCAAAGTCTGAGGGCGCGAAATGTTGCTTTAGAACGAAAAAATCGCACAGGAACAACAAGGAAAGCAGAGGATTTCTGGCGTCAACTCTTCTCCAGTAATGCCTGCCCTCACCCATCCAATCACCGTTGGGAGAATCTACCCCAGGGCCCAACATGAGTTTTTCTAGGCTTTTCAAAAGCGAAGTCCCCCTTCATTTTCGCAAAATTTTGCAAAGTCTTCTTTGACTCGCAGCTCTAAACGTAACACCCTCAAAAAAAGAAATCGAACAAAAAAGTCGCAATTTGCTTTCGCCCCAAAACGAAGTTCAGCCTGTTTCCATACGATCTGCGCCGGGTATGATTTGCCCCTCGGGTTCTCTCAAACGGGGATATTCGAGATTTTTTGGGTTCTCAACTTCATATTTGGAATCAGGTAATGGAAAAACTCCGGAACGACGAAGACATAGAAGCCGGGAATTTGGGAGGACAGTGCCTTTGATGTGGTTCAATATGCGTAAAAGAACTTTATGCAACTCAATGTAAAAGGAATTTTCCAGGGCAAGAGTGAAGTGGTACTCTGGAGAATGAAAAACATCTTTCCAAGTTTGGTGACTATATCAAAATTTTTTTTCCAAAACTTTGATGATGTAAATGCGTTGTTTGGTGGAGATTGAAAACTGAACAAGATGCATAAATGTATGTTGACTTACGTGGGCTATAAAAATGTGCAAGTGACTTGTATATTTTTGTAAGTAATTGAGATATTTTAAGATTTTTAAAAATTCAAATTGGCCTTGTAAAAAATTTTTCTCGGGGCATGGCTGATGCTACGCCTCCTTTTACTGATTTCAGAGATTACGGGCTCGCAAAAAATTTTAGAGGTACCCCGAAACTTTTTTCTACTGCGTGGCTAACGCCAAACACCTTCAATCGAAAAAAAATCTTGCCCCCCCCCCCCCGCGCGGGTGGCGACAATGCGCGTAAGATACAGGCAGTGTAAAACCGCCTTTACTAATTTTTACAAAATTTTACTTGTGGCATCGAGTCATATGTCTGCCCCTACCTCCCCCCATCCCCACCCTCCTACCTTGGGGCCGTGTCATTTTAACCGAAAAGTTTTGAAAAGCACAAGATCTGGGAATTGTCGCCTTTCGCACCACGCCCTTTCAATTGCAAAAAACTTGCGATGCGCTGTCATACTGCAAATGAATTCAGCCTAATCACTTGCTTTTTCAACAAATTTTACCCATGACATAAGACAGTTTTTTTTATTTTTACAGTCAAAACTTCCAAGATTCGAGGTGAGTTGAGAACATTGTTTGCATTTTGATGTGTTCATCCCAAACTGTGGGTTGCTCGCGAATCTGCTATCACAGGCCTAGCGCAATGCCTAACTCTCAGTTGCTGCACAGCTCTCTACTTTGCACCCTTCTTTTACAGTGAACGGCTTTACGATGAAGAACAAAATTGAAATTCATGTTTTGGATTTTGAGTTGAACCAAAATCTGCTCCATTTATTACTGTCCCTACAACCCCCAAATTTGAACTATGTCGCTTCCACACACCCTTGAACATTGCTAATTATAAGTAAAAAGTTGCGGCCATTTTGCTTCGTAGCATGGCTTGAAAAATTCTGATAAGTTAAGACATCCATATTGTACTAAAGAAAGTAAACTTACAGCCAAAATGTGCGATCATAGACGATCTCTATTCGGATCCAATCCCACTGCGCGTCACCTCCTCTTATACGTGTTTCGGAACCTCCAGTGTCCTTGTAGGGTGCATTAGGATACTTTGCGTCCTCAAAAGTTGCACTGGGATATTCCGTGAACGCAATGGTTACATCGTCGCTCGAAGGAGGCTGTCGTCAATTGCCAATGTAACTTTTCAAGATGAAGGAAGCACACCCACTCGATAATCACACGCTCTTGTGGCAAAAGGTGTCACGAGAAAGAGCGACAGCAGGCAGCCCATCCTTCATCACTGCTTAAAATGAATCACCTCTCATAATTCCGCACCGTTTCATAACATTTTCATGATGTTATCTAACTATGATCTTTCATTTATAAATGACTAGTTGGCTTTCCCGCTCCAGCCCGGGCCTCGTTCCGTTCACCTGCACTGCAAGCCCCCCCTCCCCTTCCCCTATATGTTATGGATAACTTACCAAGGGACATTCGCTTCAAAACCGCATCATCGTGGTCCTGAGGAAAAAATAGGCTTCACCGCCTTCCTTTCATGAAAATGGGAAAATGCTTTATTGAGCATGATAAGCCTTCGACTCATTAGAAAAACATAAACAAATCAATAAATCCATAGAAGGACCCAGCGAATCGTCGCAAAAAATAGCCTATCATCCGCAGGGGTCGAAAACATATGTGTGCAAATTTTCAATTGAATCGGTTGAGCGACGCGCGTTTCTTTAAAGCACATGGCCTCCAAACTCACAATTTTGAGTTATATACAATACCGCTCACAGAATGTGCAAAATTTCCGTGAATTCCGCGAAATTCCCGAAATTTCGCGAACCTTCGCGGAATTACTGGATTCCTGCGACATCGGAAATTTTGCACATTCTGTGAGCGGTATTGTATATATATGGATGAATAGTAGGTTCAATACTCAGAACTAAGAGCGGGCGAGCCGCGGCAGGGAATGTGCTTACCGGCCCAATTCCCTAAATGATGGGACGGAGCATTACAGCGACCGAGCCGCGGACCAAAGTCTGTGTCAGAAAATCCTCCGAGCCGCGACCTAGGTCAAATGAAGGCCGCGGCTCGGCCGCTCGTAGTGCCTTAGTGCAAAGGTTGCGTGATGTACGACGCATGGTCAGGCTGTCCTCAATGTCCATTGTCCAATGTCCACTCATTGCTTTAGATGTGTTTCCAGTCTTTCAGGCAGAAACAAGATCAATATGTTGTCTTGTTGACAACCTTGGATAGCGTTCGGAGTTATCCAATTTTGAAGTCGTACTTGGTTTCCGAAGCTGCTATATCGGTGACTTCAATTTTTTATGTATTTTTTCGTGTGCCAGAAATACAGTTCCATTGTGTACCTGTGTCCGGCTTAGGCAATCAAATTTTATGTGATGACAAAGCGGAGCCATATAAATGGTGGGCCGAGCTAGAATGAACTACGGACGGCCCGACAACCAGCTGCAGCTGACTCGAGGCCCACCTGTGTCCGAGCCGAAGCTCACCGCCGACTGAGCCGAGGCCCACTCTCCGGCCGGACCGCGGAAGATGCGAAATTCCAGCTAGAAAAGCACCGCGGCTCGTCCGCTCCCAGTGTCTGAGTAAGGCCCGTATGCACGTACGCCCCGCTGGGGAGGGGAGGGGAGTTGGATCCCCAAGGGAACGATCCCCTCCGCCGAACCCCGCCATGACAGAGGGGACGGGAGCGATCCCTTCCCCTGCACCTATGCGGGGATGGTGTGAATGGTTACAGAGGTATTGATCGAGCGAACCCCAGTGCATACGGGGTTCGAATGGGGGAGGGATCCCTTCCCCTCCCCACTCGAACCCCGTATGCGCGAATTTAACTCAACAACGCGGGAGAGGGGAGACATCCCCTACAACGGAGTAGGGGTTCGATGGTGTAGGTCAAGCCGGAGAAGCGAGTATTCTGATTTCAGTCAATTATTACAAAGCATTTTATTCAAATTGATGAAAGATTTTTTACGGGAGCCGGGTTGCTCTCTCAGCGACCTGTAGCTTGCAGTTTTAACTCTCTCTTCCATATTCGCTTCTTGTAAAGAAATATATATCGCAGTTTCGAATACCTGTAGAAGTTTGTGACCATTCACGAAAGTTGCGCATTTTTTATTTGACATGATAGTTTTATCCATTAAGGCTGGTACAACATATTCTAACTATCACATTATATGATAAATTGTCTTTATCTTGTTATCCTAACGTAAAACTGCTTTGAATAAAATGAAAATTAGCAGACTCGCATGTTTCTGAGTAGAGATCCTCGGGGGAGTGATCCCCTCCCCATCGTTCCCCTCGTGCATAGCAGGGATGGCCGCTAGGGATCATTCCCCTGGGGTAAAGGACGACATGCAGCTGATAGCTACAGCGTTTATGGAGAGCTGGCACGATTTGCAGCTTCAGTTATGTGTAGAAATGCTGGTTTGATGTGCGCAGCACCCCCCCCCCCCCTCCTTTTTTTTTCGGCAGCATAACGTCTTCTACTCATTCACTGCAGATACACCTTGACTTCTATTATTGAACACCTTTACGCTGTGGGCAGCATGAGCGAGAATGAGCACCATCCATGAAAGCAGTTGGAATATAATGGATGTAGGAAATATTTCTTTGATGCGCCGACCGCAATCACGGCAGAGAACATTCCGCAACGATTAAATATCGCCGAGACACATTGAAGGTGAGTAGTATCAAAAGATAAGAAAAAAGGAATAATTACTGCAAAAAAAGCGGAAGCAAAATGAATTCCCCGCTCGATTTCCCCTTCTGCATAAGGGGCCCCCCTCCCCTACTCCCAGGGGATCCCCTCTTCGGTATTGTCTTTCTGCATACGGGGGTTTGCGTGGGGAAGGGAGGGGAGCCCCAGCGGGGATCATTTCAATGGTTAAACGCACATCCCCTCCCCGCGGGGATGTACGTGCATACGGGCCTAAGTACCATAGTAGGTTCAATCCATGCAGTTCTAAAATCTAATGCAAATCGAAAGTTGCTCAGACATTGGGAGCCGACGAGCCGCTGCCTATTACAGGCTGGAATTTTGCAGCTCCCACGGGCCGGCTGGAAAGTGGACACTCCTCGGCCCGCGATAAGCCTCAGCTCAGCCGCAACTGGCTCTCGGATCTTCCGTAGTTCATTTCTGCTCGGTCGTAATTGGGCCTTGGCTTACCATTGCAGGTCGTCCGCCTTATCACTAATTTCAAAAAATTTGATTCTTCCAGCTGGACACAGATAATACACAGTATCACGGTCTTTTATTTATTGCCATTTAAGAAAATACGCTACGATCTCCATTTCAAATCAACAAAAAAAATGTGACCATGCCTAAAAGAATATACAAGTACAACAACGACAACATAAATTTCGAACAAGGTCGAAGTGCATTTGTATTCCGTCAGTCTATTCCTACAGTCTCAAAGGCAGTAGTATCTTCTGTCATCAATTACTCCAATGTTTTCTTCAGTCAGCTTTTTTTCCTGCCACTGGAACACCTAAATATCTTAGAATTGCAAATCTATGTAGATGAGCTCACATCGCTCAGTTTCCATAAATTCATCTTTCCTGTATTTGGACGCCCGACATCCCTTCTGTAAATCAAAGTTACCAGTGATCCTAATCAATACTCCACACGCATACAATGTTTTTTGCAGCGCTTGGAAAATGTAGGGTCTCCATAGAATGCGCTTTTTTATCGAAATGAGGTCTGTTCTTCGTTCCTCTTTCTGCTTCCAAGATTCTTGTGTAACTAAATTGATTGAATAGTACCTCGCTGAAATAACTAACTTACGTTTTCTTGTTTCAAACAACTTTCTCTTACCTAGAATACTCCAGGTCTCCTTCAAACCCAGTAATGAGCTCATCATGTCCATACACGAGGCTGTCTTCGGCAAAGTCTGAAACTTGCGGGCATGCACCGAACGCATAGTCGAAGTCATAGTCATGGTCGAAAAGGAAATCTTAGCGTGCGAGCTTTTACAATGACTTGCGGAGGCCAGCCGACTACCAAGTCAGTGCCTTTATCCTCCCAGAATTACTCAGGTACCAATTTAACGTCTCCGAAGGGTAGAGGGCTTGGTTGGCCTAGTAGCGGGATCGAACTGCTTTCGATCTAGTCATAGCGGCACCTCAGACCACTACGCCACTCGTCCCCTTCTGAAACTTGATTGTTTCAAAATCTCCAATAATGACCATACACTTGCCATGACTATATAAGAAACATTGCCTACCTAGCAATGTTTCTTCTACCTCCCTTGGAAGATCTTTTAGACTCTCATCCCGTTCTTTCCTTTTACCGTAAAGCATAATCTTGTTGTTTGTTTAGAGGATATGTGATATAAATCTACACAATTTCGTCGAATGAGATTTGAACTTTTCCCCCTTTGTCGGAAGGAAATACGCTATATAGGTAGTAGCACTAAAATGCTGTTTCTTTATTTCGCGGATTCCACGATTTCATGAGGATGGCGGCGACATCCAACTGAACATGTATATGATTACAACTGCTTGCGCAAGCTTGATTTTCGTGAAGAAAAAACTCAACGAAGGAGTCCTGCCCATATACTTTTCACGGTTTTGTGATTTTTGGACACCAAATTTAGGTAAGTTTTTACAATTAGAGCTGCGCTCCTTTATTTCAATCGTTGGTGTAATTCGCGATAGGTGCGCTCTTAGTATATCGCCTTCAAGAAGCTCATCTCAAGGGATCGTTTAACTCATCTACGCCATCGCATGCTTCGCGCTCTCGTTGTTACTTTGGAGCGACTGAATTTTTAGGAATAAATCTCATTCATTGCTTACAAGTTTCTGACTCACATCCTAAACTGTGTTTAAACGTGTTCGTTTCTGTCGTCTCCATTATGAACATCTTCGATGCTTTATCCATCTAAATGGTACCGTTCTTGACACAGCCGAAGAAATGGGTTCCCTTGAGGCTTTCCTAGCTTTCCTTGGAACATGTTAGTCGTGCCATCATTACTCTCACACTGTTCGTACTTTCCTCAGTTCGGTGGACATGTTGTTGCTAATGCGATACATGTCAAACTCACAATTGGATCATAAGTGAAGTAACTTCAAATGAAACGCATGAAAGGGTTCTGAACGGAACCGTTTTTTCTGAAAGAAAATCTACTCAGAATTTTCGGCATAACATAACATGCAATGTTACAACCAACAGCGTAAGCTCAACTTAATTTCTCAAAACTTATAAGAAGACAAGTCCCATTAATTACAGAAGATCCAATTCTTCTATCATAGTCTCTGATTTTCGGA